GTCAGCTTAATGCGACGTGTTTGTGAGTGTGAGAAAAAGACAAGCCTCGCGATCCAGTGAGCGACTGTGAGTTGAACAGTCAAGTATGTGGGTGACTGGGTCGCTACAGGTTCGAACCACGGACCTTCCAGTCAGTAGATTCGCGCTCTAACCACTTGAGCCATCTCGCCCCAAACCAATCTGATCCCGTTTCATTCAGGGCAAGGTGACTAAATGAGTTCTTATATGATTCCCGGTGATACTGCCTTCGGAATAACGCCGAAAGAGACTTGGACTGATTTTTTATACCAAAGTGGGATAATTTTCGCCTTCTAACTGCTTATCGGGCACACTGCTATCAGTTGTGCTTACTGGCTAGATTGAAGCGACTGATACCGAAACATCGCGCCTAAGATATTTTCGAAACAGTTGACGAATGATTGGGAAGTCGTTTCGGCTGCTGGGTGTTGTGTTCGAATTGCCATAGTATTCAATCTGCAACAATTCCACTATATCCTCTGTAGCTGCATTCATGTGTTTGCTTGAACTGTTTTAGATCACGCGCAGTTATGCATGGGAAAGCTTCTTAAGAGCTTGTCCATTATTCGACAAAGCGGTACAATATCAATTTGAACCAATGGAGGGTGATGAGGTAAGTTTCATGCCATGAGATCTCATAGTCACCTCATCGCTTATTTGAGTCACCATGCCTGTCAAATGCATGTTAGTATTGGGTTCCATTTTACGGTAGTGTTTACCTGCCTACCCGTTCCTCGCTCATCAGTGAACTGTGTTCGATTAACAAACGCATACTATTCTGAGATACCGTACCACCTGCGTTTTCAGTGAATTTCTGATATGTGAGCCGAAAACTTACTTTGCTTCAACTGTGGGCTGTCTCATTCCGGCAACATATTCAGCTCAGTTTTTCTCACCAAAGATCCAAACAGATGAACTAGATTTTTCCAGTGCATCGGTTTTTATATTTCCTCCATCATTTCTTAACGCTAGACACAGTACCTGACACTGGCGTGGAAAATATGGTGCTTGTCAATCCCCTAAAAACCATTTTCCATGTATTGAGTCAACATAAGGCCACAAATATTGATACATCCAATGGAGTATCTATGTAATTGACGATGTGAGCTGCTTGGTTGCTGGCAATCGACAATTGGATTGCAAACATTTCGTCACCAATCCGGGAGGCGCCTGAATGCAGGGTTTGATGGGTGACTCCTCCTCTTCTTCTTGCTGTTATATGGTCTCTAAACACTATGTAACAACTCTAGCGTGGACAGAGTGCGGCAGCAAAGCATCAGTGTTGAACGCGGTTGTATTCCTTCTTTTTTCCTTCGTACGTTGTGGTCTAGTTTTCTTTCATTTGATTGGTTGATTAGATAACCTGCTGTTCTTAGTAGTTTTCTTCTTATTGGTTTAAGTGAAGCTGTGGGAGTGGTGTTCAGCTGACAAGTTGTTATTACTATTGCCATTAGCACTACTATACGTATTTGCCGCAGACTTTTCCTGGCAACTCAGTCGTATACATAACGGTTTGTTGTACACTACTGCATTCAACGGTTTTCATCAAATTCCCACGATTATCTGTTATGTCTTTCCCCAGATCACCCTTTTACGTTCTCCCGATGCGAAGGAAGCCAGCCTGGAACAGATCGCTCGCAAACTAGCTCGTCGTCTGGTATTACGAGAGCGCCGAATCGCATCATACGAAAACGAACTGAAAACACTTCAAACGGGCTCTGCCAATCCCCACAATAATTCGCAAGCCGTCCCTGGTAGTCCAGTATGTCTATTGTTGCCTGTGGATCATGGCAGTTCCCTACTTGCTTCAATCAAAATTATAGTCATAAAGGTGTTCCACTTTATGTCCGTCTGTTTAATCATGGGAATGTGTAGTTTGCACCCGATAGGATTAGGCTTGGTAATCGATAAACTACGCAAATTTCTGCCAACTGTATATTGTCAAAATGGCCACTGAAAGAGAGACCTGAATATGTTTCTTTTTTTCCAGATGACCGTTTTGGGGTAGTTGAAGCGTACAGGCCTGGCGAAAGCATCGCTGCCCCGATACAGTGATAAACAGTTTATTTGATAACATTCAGAGAGCTCTCGTACTCTTAACCGTTGGCTTGGAAGTGGGACACCGTTTCAGCAGTCAGTCAACACCGTGTTTATTTTTTACCATGGTATATTGCCACACTTCCCAAATCATTGCAGTGTGTACTATCAACCATCCATAACAAGTACGAACCAGCTCTGCTGAGCTTCTCTGTTTTTGTTCTATGCCACTCCAAACGCCAAGTTATTTCAATTGTTTCCGAACCCTTCAGGTTTTCGGTAGCCGATTCAACACCGGCGACCAATCGCAGCAGACATTTTTAGGGTACTTTCAGACACCTGCTTCGTCAACTAAGAGAAAGAACAGGACTTTTCGGGCTAACAAATTGTTTTCACCTAATCATCGGCTGCGCACACAGTCAACTGCCGAGTGCCAGCTAATAGACCATAGCTTTGACTTAGGGCCAGGTGTACTGCAAGCCACCTGATCTGCACTCGCAGCTGAAACTGTAGATATTGACATAACGAAGTGCTTGATAGGAAATCACAGATGTATTTATAGAGTGCTTGCTCATTCGCACTCACTAAGTGAATGAAAGCTTCACATCGAAAAGGACTTCGGCGCTGCGTGCACGACAGTTCTTCTTTACAGTGACCTCCTTGGACGCGGTTAGTCGAACACTAAAGCATTCCAGCTCTGACTCTTTGGCTTCTGGTGTTCGGTCGCTACTAAATACCTGTAGCACATGAATGTTGTCTAAGCAGGTAAAAATGGTGACTATGCTGTATAGGCTTGATTCACCCTATGACTTATGGCAAATCGTTCGCCATGTCGATTATTCGTATGCAAACAGCCTAGCTTTCGGAACGGTGCTTCTTTAATACCTTGAGACATTGAAAATCAATGTAACCATTAAGATTTGCCCGATTATAGTCCGGACGGATTGTAACACTTTAGCATGAAGTGCATTTTTCACTTCTGAAAATGAAGTCTTTCTCCGTTTCTCTTCATCAGCATATAATAAAAAAGTAGTCGTTCAGCTGTAACACCCTTCCGGTGCGTAGCTGCCGGAAGCACGAAGACTGGGATACTGCCAGGTTGCGCAAACCTAGACGGGGGAAGTCGAGAGGTAGAGGTCGGGTTCGAACCAGTCCGGACGGATTGTAACACTTTAGCATGAAGTGCATTTTTCACTTCTGAAAATGAAGTCTTTCTCCGTTTCTCTTCATCAGCATATAATAAAAAAGTAGTCGTTCAGCTGTAACACCCTTCCGGTGCGTAGCTGCCGGAAGCACGAAGACTGGGATACTGCCAGGTTGCGCAAACCTAGACGGGGGAAGTCGAGAGGTAGAGGTGGGGTTCGAACCATGGACCTTCCGGTCAGCAAATTCGCCCTGTAACCACTGAGCCATCTCGGATCGGCATACTGCTATCCAGTCGTGTGCCGAACATCTTCTGATCATGAATCATTAAGTTAACTCGCGGTCGGCGCATTTTATATTCTGAAAGATGTTTCCAGAAGGATGGTTATAAATTTCAGTAATTTGGCGTTCGATATACGATTCGGACAATGAAGGTGGACGGCACCGAACTTCCTCTGAAATGTACGGTACACAAAATCAATGGTAAAACTTAGCTTTACTGGCTCTCATCAAAAGGAGAATAATACGGGAATTAAATCCACCAGCACCACTACTTGGTTATGAACACCTTTGAGGTTTCTGAGGTTTGAGTATTTGGGTCGATTTAAGCACTCAGTAATTGTACCTACAGTGTGATTATTTTCCCCGCAGGCAGATGCATCGTACATACTGTCCAGGTGCGTGATTGCTGCACTAAGTAGCCTCGTTGGTAGATCAGAGTGTGCAGTACCTCTGTGACCTCTGTGTTCAAGTCCATTACTTTTTGTCCACTCTTTTGTATACTCGAACGACGTTTGAGGATAGACCATATTGGTTGTTGATCAGATGGCTTTTGATCTATTCACCGAGCTCGGCGGATAGACCAACAACCAATAGACGCATCTAAGCTGCCAATATTTCAACACATTAGCGACAGATCATCTCTGTATCTACTCTATCCTATCAAGTGTTGTGTTGTGTTTTTACTCTTAAGTCGGCAGTCAAATTCAGAGCATCTAACAATCTGGGATTGCAGTTGTGAATTTACATAGAGTTTCTGTGTGAAAACTTTTCTCGCCCAGATATGTTCACAAAGCTTGTGGAGGGAAATGATTTGAGAGTTCGGATTGCAGGCTGGGATAAATTTATGGATGTCTAGTTTTGTAATAAATGTTATGAACCGCACGCACTTTGTTCAGTGTTCAGCACTTGTTCAGTGTCAAGAATCTTAACGTGCCACAAATCATTCTTTTTTTTTTTTCGTGTAAGCTAACTGTGAGCAATCTGTTGTTGTTTTGCTTACTTGTTCGTTCGTTTAGGATTCCGAAAACCAAGAAGAGTTACTGTCGTTCAATCAGGAATATGTGGAGCATAAAGTGGAGGAAATTCAGTTCGCCATTCGACGGGAAGAGGTTTGTTAGAGCCCTTATTTCGTTTACTCGTAGCCATCGATCTCGCCTGAGTCGTGCACTTGTCGACCGTTTGCTTGAACGGAATAAACACTGCACTCTGCAGTGCACTTGATGTGAAAACAGATAACCACCCCACTCTTCAAAAACCGAACGAAAATCCACGCATTCTTCGGTAACTTTAACCTCTATAGGAAGCGAACAGTCGAGCTATGCCTAATCAGAGGTGCTTGACTAAATGCCTAAGCTTTTACGTGGATGAAGCCCTGATGCTTTTTCCATTTTACTGGCTTGTCACTGGATGAGTTGGTCGGTACTCGCCGGATTAGTCACTATGACAGAGGGGGAGCGGATATGCATTAAATTTTGATCGTCTGTCCATCGATAGTCCTTTTTCAATAAGACCTGTCGTGTAATTTTACACTCACCAAAGGTTTGGTGGGTTCTAACCGGTACCATTGAGTACACCAGACATGCTCAAGACAGCCCTGTCTACAAATTTTTGCCAGTCAGTATATTTTCCATTCGCATAATCTGACATCCGTTGAACCTGTCACCGGCGTAAACGACTGTTGTGTTGTTTTCGCTTTTTACTACTTTCCTGCGAGGTATTTTGCTTTTCATTGCTTTGAACTTGGAACAGCGATTGGTTTATATGGGCTGCGTGATTTTGAGACCCTAAGGAAGTACAGTTTTTCTTTCGTGGCGGAAACCTTTGACTAGCAAAACATTTGGAACAATAAGACCACTTTGGGCACCAATAAACAGGCACCAAACCGTTGTTTTAGGTTCAAACCCACTACTAAACCCTTAATAGGAATTAGGTTTCACACGAAACCTTTGAATTAGACCTCTGGAAATCCCAAATGTCACTGTTTTGGCGTGCAAAGTGATCTCGAGTGGATTCTAACTGATGCAACTGTGCGTAAATCTTAGCCGAATTGTTAGGTGTTCTATAAATTCTCGTGGCGAGGCTTTTACTGATGACTTTTTTGGAAAGAAGATAATATTCTTCAACTGACCCCCCGCTTTTGTGGAAGTGAGCGTCTGCTATTGTGGTTAAGGATATTGAGGATTTAGTCTTTTCTGAATTTTGATGTTGGTAGCGTATGCTGCTTACGGATTGACCTCTCAACGAAATAATTCTTTGTAATCTAATCCGATTGCTCATTGTCCGACGAATGGTAGTCCACCAAGGGGAAGCTACTGGCTTGCAGTGACAACCTCCCAAATGACAAGAAAATTGCCGCAACCAAGGGGCTTCTTAGCCTCTATTACACTGAACATGGTTGCTTGTTTTTGTGACATTCATGAGGGAAAATTTCATCGTGAAAACATCTACCTCTCGTCATCGTTTCCTCGTAGGAGATAGTGTTACAAAAGACCATCGTTAGTGTCAGGTCTATTGATCAATCCCCAGTTTTCTTGTTTTGTATGGCGGCAATCCCACTAACCAATGGCAGAAACTCATAGATCATAGTTAACCCACCATTTTTCTCCCTCCTTGGTACTTCTTATGTTCTGGTACCAGCCATGTACGTGTGCCTCTAATATTCACTTCCGAACCGTATTATGACGAAGTTTTCTGATTTATGATCTTGAAAATTAAAAGTTGAGATTATCAGTCGATCACTTCTTGCCTTCGCTCTGCCTTCGTTCCGTGTCTCTAGGAGAGTTTGCATTTCATTTCACACCTGGACTATTTATTGCACAGCCATAGCTAGAGCGCTCGTAAATTGACTTAAAAGGGAGGCGCTTGCTTGATACGGTGTGGAAACACGTACGTACATTTTTGATGCGTACTTCGGGTCCGTCAGCGTGTGTTGAAGGGTTCCTATATGCTTGCGTGTCTGTGTGTGTGCAGCATTTAGGCCAAACATACTCTTACTGCTGTGTAAATAGTCATCCCATTTTCGGGTTTTCTAGGTTCATTAGTTGTGAGGCAGGCTTACACTGGAGTGGCGTTAGCACAGTCCTCCATTTCGGACGCGGCACACATTCTCCGTCTCATCTAGTTTTGTGATTTCGTTCTCATTTGGTCGTTCGTTTTACCCGTATGAGGTTATCCTTTTTCCTTCAGATTGAACGGGTAAAAATTGAGGCGTGCCTCGGGCTGTTACGGAATTCCGCAGGTATGTAACAAACCATGCACCAATTTGGTTTTGACGGGGGACTCATCTAGAACCCAGTAGTAACCTTTCGTTCATGCTGTTTATTATTGATGTTCTATTCATGTTCACATGTGAAAATTTCATGTCGTATCGCGTACACTTTAGGTTAGCTACCATTTGTCGAAAGTATGCACAGTGCTTGGTCACAAAATGGTCCCACGAGCACCATTTGGAGCTTCCTACTAAGCCTGTAGATATCCTGGATTTTTCGATAGCTCGTTGGCACTATGTATTCAACAATTCAAATTGGATTGGTCTGCATTGAGTTACTCTCAGGGAAACCAAAATTGTTTCTTACGAACGGACGTCTTCCTAAACTGAAAAACTATCACGAGTACTGCTGGCACACCAGATTTATCATGCTTTTGTAATGGATGTGAATGACTGACTAGTTGACAAGTTGCTACCGCACGTTTATTGTTTCCACGTCTCTATCCACAGTCGAAGTGAAGCAGTTTGTTGCAGAGGCTCGCGCAGCAGCAGATGCTGCGGTCTCTGCAGCATTGGCACAGCAGCTTCGTGAAACAGACGGAGGCCTTATAAGTGACTTGCGCGTTACTTCCCACCTGAGCGACCGCCCCACTGGGGAAGGTAGCAGTGATAGCGTCTCGAGCAGCGTTGACAATCAGCGGATCTTCAGTCGACATTACGCCACTCCTCATGGCAGTCGTTCGAACACCATTGGGGCCGGCTACCTTGCTCGAGGGCATACACATACGGTGGGTTTCGCCTTCTTTATTATATGTGCAAGATTGTTTGACATCCGATGCACACGTTAGTACAAAACGAAACGATTGTTTCTGACATTTATCAAGAATGCACTTTGTCGGCCTCTCTCGAGTATTCCTTTGCGTAACCGGAATTCGATTTCACTTGGTGTTAGCCACCACAGGATGTTCCCTGTCAATAAGCATTCGAAAGGCGATGACGACTACATACTTTGGAACCACTTGCACGAGCTACCGTGGGTTGATCATTGTTGCCTTTTCTTTTGTTATGGGTAGATAGACAATTTATTTATAGTGGTAGGATCGAGTCATGGAACTGAACTCGGTCTTTCTTCATGCTTGTTCAGTATCCGGACTTTTTTCTAAAGTAAAATAATGCATAATGCAGCTCTGTTGGACGAAGTTTTACTGTGGTTTCCTTCATAAGTACACCACTGGCTTGATCACCTACGCGATTAACGAACCCTCCAGCTTACTTGGGCTCTAAGTCCTACAATGTCGTGTCACTCACTTTTGTTTTTTTGTCCACAGGGTTGGGTGCGCAGTACAACAGTTGGTCGGTGTTATGTGTGGAAATGTCCAATCCATTGATATACTATGGAAAGTGATCACTAAATCCATCGTTTGGAAAGTTACACCTTTGGTGTATCCCGACTCTAGATAAAGCACAAATTCGAACCAGGAACATGCTTTTGATTTCAGGTTGACACTGCCATTTCATATATGTACCTGTCTTTCTGTAACGCTTGTCGCTTACAGGATGCCCGAACAACTGCCAGTGACTGACTTCGCGCATTGAAATCAAAGTGAAATGAGACACTACTAAGAAAATATAATGCAGTCACTAAGATAGCAAATTGTATTCTTTACCCGGAAAAGTTGCGTGTAATTTATTGGTTGTTGATCAAGTGTTGTGTTTTGGCTTGCATTGGGGCAGTACACAAGCCCCACTAGCCGCTAGGAGAGGATCACAGCCGGGAGGGTGACCAGGGAACCATGTTAATAGCGAGTAGGTACCAAACGTGCGGACAGGGGCAGTAAGGTATAGTAAATAGACCGTATACAGAAATAACGATGCTGAAGGCTGTCAGTACGTTTGGGAGATAAGGGAAGCTGTCTGGAAAACGAGTGTCGGGCGGCTTTGGCGCAAACTAAATGTACCTGCAATCTTTCGCTGACGGCGCGATGCAGCAGCACGTATCAAATCGAAATGCGCGCTCAGACCCGTTTGACAGGCAAAATTTCAACACACTATACGGTAAGATACAATACAAGGGGAATACAAAATCGACAACCTTTTGAGTAGTGTGTTCCGTCCAAACGAAATAACCGTTTGGTTGGTATTTGTTCTGGAATTCGGGAACAACATAGTATGCTACTTTGAGCTGCATTTAGTGTCCAGTGGGTTCAGAATACTTCAGGTGACTGCACTTAGTGAACTGAGCTTGTAAGGTACAGATTCCTACGGAGATTACAAATTAGCTTATGTCCTACTCTGCCATGGGTGAACCCATCCGTCACCACAAGCGGTTGAGATTTAGCCACAGAATCACTTCCTATGTTCTCGGCTAGAGAGGAGTTGCACAGCTCTACGACATTGGGGAATGGCTGAACCGTTTGGAGTTCCAAATAAGGATGATGACCTTTCTGTTAATTGTTGCACTTGGTAATCGTTACCGTTTCTGTGAACATTCGCTTGTTACAAGAACGTGGATCTGCGTGGGTGATTTTTATCTCTTGATGCCGTGCAGAACATCCGAGACTAGCAACTCATACGAATTTCACCCTCTCCCGAGTTCCCAGTAGGTTACTGTTGAGGTCTACCCAGTTCATAGGGATGACCGTCTACATTTTTGTCATGCGGAACGTATTTCACAGGAAAGCACAATCAGACATAGGAAAAAGAGAACTTGACCCTTCAGGAACTCAGTTTTCAGTTATTGACAATCCTGACAAGGGACGTCTAACGCTCTTAATGGTTCATAAATCGCAGGAAATTATGTGGGCTATATCACCAAACTTGGAAAAATTCGCAAGTACACTTTAATGCTAATACCTCAAATAAGACAGCCAGTCTCATAAGATCGTTCCGATCATATTTCCCGACCAGAACATTTGGAGGCGGGTCACCATTATTCCATAGTTGAGACAAATAGTGATGAGAAATATGTCCGAGGCTTCAGCTTCTCTCGTTTTTGTTTCATTGAAGTTTATCCCTCGGTGTGAGTGCTCGATTTTCGTTTGCTCTAGGCTACGTTCAACTTACAGGAAAGACCAGAATAAAGCTCAGGTCCAAGTACGATCTCCATACGTTTGATACCTTTGAACTGATCGTCCACATGCCGGTAAAAGCTCCGCTCACTTGGGCAGAACCAAAAATAACTTCCTCGAAACTATGACATTTTCTATATCCACTTTTTTTGACATCAGTTTGTTCAAGTGGGTGAATTAGAAAAGGGCTTGCTAATCTTAGCTACCTATGCCAGAACCCGGATGAAAATCAATGCATTGCTCTTGTCTAACGAGGAAGAAGACTTTACAACTCAGTAACAAATCGTCAAACGCGGCTGTTTACACACAATTTGTGCGTGAGACTATGATCACCCGGTTCACCGAGTCACATAAAGTAGGCCAGAACTGATTATTGAAAAATTCTTTGTTGTGAAGTTATATGTAGGTTTGAGCAGATATAACATGCTTATGATGGCTGTAGTTCACGAGGCAGTACTTGGTAAATCTGGCCAGAAAGCTATGTAGTGTTACGTGTTGGTTTTTCTTCTGTTCGGTGTTTATCCTGCCAATATCTTTGTTTCGCTGATGAGTCAGTTGATTAGATATGTTGTTTTGCGTTGTCAAAGTGTGACAAGACGGCATCCGGAGTGATAACGTTAGTAGGGCGGTGTCAGTTGCAGTAGTTGTGCGCACGAAACTCAGCGTCCCCATTTACTAAGATGCCTTAGTGGATAACCACCATAATAAACAAAACTATAAGCTCAGACAGTTGATGCTCATCAGTTGTATGAACGGGGATTAACTTTCTGTTTCATATACTCGACGAACAGACCTAATTCGGCCGCATGGACAGCTACAGAAGACGAGATATTAAATCAGTGTCATTTAACAAAATCCAACGCCAGTCAAGTGCTCTCTTAACATCACATTTCGATAACGTAGTTTGTTGCAAAATGTTGGCGTGGATGCGAAAATGAGAGAAAATCCAGACTAACCGACATCGTATCCGACGCCACCAGGGACGATAGTCTGCCGAGCAACCTTCACGAACAAACACAATTGTGATTGTGATGGTTGGAAAGCCGAATAGCTTCGGCAAAATGTTGATAATTCAAGACGGTCATGGGGCCTCTTAACAATGCCAATCAACGCCGAATTTCTATGTAAAGCTTTCCCTCTGGCACTCAGGGTTCTGGTGTATGTCCAACACATGTCTAGACACGTATGCACCTGGGCCGGTACGAACCACGAGTTCGATTTTCCCTTAACTCAGATACGACGGCCCCGCTGCAACTGATTCAGGCAGTCCAAGCGCGCTGTGTCTGAACTCGTCTCTGGGTTTTGGCACAGACGGACGGTATGGTAAGCTAGCAACAAGTGCGCACTGACGGTACCGAATTAAGTCCGCCAACCAGGAGATCAATAGCTTTCGCTAGGCTGCACGCGCAGCCAAAACGACGGCGGACGGCCAATCGTCATAATGGCACGGGAAAAAAGGAAAATCTCCGTTCAACTTGTAAGCATTCCCGATAGCACGTGTCAAATAACCCTGCCGATTGCAGCTTCAGTGGGAACCTTCAGTTGAAGCGCAGCATAATTCAGCAGTAGTAAATCGAGACAATACGGGGCACATAATGTACAGTGGAAAATTTCAGGCACTTCCGGAATGCCATAAATGTC